GGGCATAGCAGCAGAAGGAAATCTGGTGCTTACAGCGGTCACTGGAGTATAAGAGTGAGGATGAGAATGAGGAAGAAAATGAGACTGGAAAGTTTGGGGCCCCAATTGTGCAGGACCTTTCATGCATAATAAGCATTTCAATCTTTATCCCAAAGGAAAGAAAGGCTTGGAAAGGTTAATGATGGATGATATAATCAGACTTCATTTCAGAAAATAACCCTGGAGGCAGGATAGAAAACAGATTGGAAAGGAATTGGATGGCAGCAGAAGACCACACAGGAGGCTGCTACAGGGTATATTGGGAGGAGCGTGTCCATGGACATGGAGATAACTAAACAAAGTGATGACTCCAGAAACATTTACTATGCAAATCCAACCTGTTATGCTGGGCTGCTGGGACCTAAGCCTCCTTATGAGAGTATCTGCTGGGGATCAAAGAGTCAAGAAAGGGAAGATGCCCTAATACTGACTAAGGTCTCACGTGTCAGGGCCTCTCTTGATCACCACGTCCCTTTAGGCTCTGAACTGTAGACAGAAGACATCATGAGGTTAACTCCTAAGGAAAAAGTTACCTGATCAAGTGTTTCTCATGCCCTCCAAATTCTTATGTTTAATTATGGTTGTTTGTGATGACAAAAGTCAATTTCTAGAGAACAGGAAAACTGCAACTGTATTCTAGCTATCAAACAAAGAGTGGCAAATTCATCACAGTCAAAATGATTAACTGGTGGCATAAGGGACCACCAACTGTGGCACACAACTCTGTTACTTGGAACCCCCTGTGTACTATTGTCAGCTTTAGTTTTACAGGTAATTTTTTTACCTTAGTAAAGTTGGATTGCAGTGATAGCTCCTCCCCCCAGCTTAACTAACAATAATCTCTTCTCAGGAAAGACCTACTCTGAGGGATAAAAAACCATGGCATCACCTTTGCAACTCAGCAAGAACTGAGGACTTTATATTCCAAGATCCAGCAGGGTCATCATAGAGCTAGAAAGGGTGGAAAAGGCCACCCAGTTGAAGCCCATTTTTAGACATATTGAGAAAATTGCTGATTAGTTCAATCAAGCTCATTCACTGATTTATATTCCTGTGCTCCCTCCCACTCCAGACTCCCTCAACCATACACAGATCCACTATAAAAAATGACTGTGAGGGGCTGGGGTTGGAGTTCAGAGGTAGAGCACTTGCTTAGCATGTGTGAGGCACTGGGTCAGCACCACATATAAATAAATGAATAAAATAAAGGTCCATCAATATCTTTAAAAAAAAGGAATGACTGTGAGCCGGGTCTGAGCTAACCACAGAGATGCTTCATCTCATTTCACTCTTATAGCAACCCTATGAAAAGAGCAGAATTATTAGTCCCATTCTACAGATTAAAAACCCAAGGTTGGGGGAGGTTAGTGCAGTTGGCAAAGAGAGAGGTTTGCACCAGTTCATGGAGTAATAGGCAGCTTGACACCAGAGCCTAAAAGTTGATAGTCTTTTAACATGTAGCTCCTTTCTTTTAAGAGGCTAACTACACATTTGATATTTTCTGGTCCTGGATTAGGGTGGAAAGAAAAAGCAGAGAGGGAATAGTCCTTAATAAGCAGAGATGCATTAAATTGACATTATAATCTGGCAACATAGTAACAATCACCCTTCAGGATCTGCAGGGAACTGGTTCCAGGACACCAGGACCCCCAGGATATTTAAATCCAAGGATGCCAAGCAAAGTGGTACATGTTCATAATGTCAGCTACTCAGGAGGCTGAGGTAGGAGGATGGCAAGTTCAAGGGCAGCCTCATTAAAGACCTTCAACAACTTGATGAGACCCTGTTTTAAGACCAAAATAAAAAACAGGACTGATGTAGCTCGGTGACAAAGTACCCCTGGATTCAATCCCCAATTTTAAAAAGATAAAAAAAAAAAAAGCCAGGTGTGATGGTGCATGCCTGTAATCTCAGCAGCTCAGGAGGATGAGGCAGAGAATTGCAAGTTCAAAGCCAGCCTCAGCAAAAGTGAGCCGCTAAGCAACTCAGTGAGACACAATAAAAAACAAAATAGGGCTGGGGATGTGGCTCAGTGGTGAAGTGCCCATGAGTTCAATCCCCAATAAACCCCACCCCACCCCATCCCCATGCACAAAAAAAAAAAAAGTCCTTTATATAAAAAAATGGCATACTATTTACATATAACCTGTACACATCCACCTATACACTTCAAATTATCTCTAGATTATGTATAATACCTAATACAGTACAAGTGCTGTACAAACAGTTGTTATACTGTATTGCTTTGGGTTTTTTGTTTTAGTTTTATTTTTAGTTTTTTGTCTTTTCTTTTTTGTAACTGGGGATCAAACCCAAGCCTTAATGCACGTGAGGCAAGTGTTTTATCAGAGTTACATCCCAGTCCTGTATTGCTTAAGGAATAATGATGACAATAAAAAGTCTGTACATGTAAAGTATAGATGCATTTTTTTCCTGAATATTTTTGATACACAGTTGGTTGAATCTGTGGATGGACATAGAAAGATGACTATACTAATCCTAATCATTATTGACAACATGTCCATCACATACCCAGCTCAATGTTAGGTATTTATATCATTCCTGCCACATTAATTAGAAGTGTGTTACTTTGCCAAGCATGGTGGCACAAGCCTTAATCCCACGTGCTCAGGAGGTTGAGGCACGAGAATCCAGAATTCAAAGCCAGCCTCAGCAATTTAGCAAGGCCCTAAGCAACACAGCAAGATTTTGTCTCAAAAATAAAAATGCACTAGGGATGTGGCTCAGTGGTTAAGCACACCTACGTTCATCCCTGGTACCAAAAAAAAAAAAAAGAAGTATGTTATTTTATTTCAAAATATATGGGGGTTTTCTATTATCAGTTTTTCATTGACATGTAACTTAATTGCACTATCATCAGAAATAGGCTCCTTATGATTCCATTCCATTGAAATTTGTTGAAAAGAGTATATTATTTCTAATACTCAAAAGGACATGGGGCATAATCCTAGAAACTCAGGATGCTAAGGCCAGTCTGGGCAACTTAGTGAGATCCTGTCTCAAAATAAAAACTGAAAAAGGCTAGGTCCAATTCCCATACCAAAAAAAAAAAAAAAAGAAAAAGTGAACATAAAACAATTAAAAAGGTACAATTTAATTTTGTATATATGTAGGGAGCTCCCTTACTATCTCGAATATGAGTTAATTTTGTAAATAATTTACACATTTTTTAACAATACACCTGGTGGGTAATATAAACTGGATGTGCTTCTCCCAAAATCTGATCTTTATGTACTATTCCCAATTGTAAAGAATCACACTTTTGTCCTACAGGTGAATTCTACCACATGAAGTGTATGGATTATTAGGTTATTATTAAATAACTCTCTTGCAGCCCTATTGGGTTTTATTATGTTAAATTCTAATCTAAGTCCAAAACTGTTCACAAGGGCATGTCTTGGGTAGAAAGCAAAAGACAATATGGTTTGATGCAAGCCTGTTTTAAACAAAAAAATCAAGTGTGCCTCCCACATTCAGACATGAGAAAGGTTTGTATTAGGACATGGAGGTCCTGAGACGCTTTTACTCAGGGTCATGAACTCATGAGAACAGGTAGATACAGACATCTGAAGACCTGCACAACAAGCATGGCAATATCTGATCTCCTATTAAAGGGGAGACTCCAATGTTAACCAAATGCACAGTGTAAGGGCTTAACCACTCACTAGTTGAGTGCTCTATGATCAGCTAGCTTCATTAAGTCTTGATGTTTTCATCTGGAAGAAGGGTTGATAATAACTTCACCTTATACGTTGAACTAAAGATTGTTTACAAAGCACCAGCAGAGTGGGCACACAATAAATGATGCTTTTGAATTCTATTAAATAAGAAATATGAACCGCCCAATTCCATCCTCTTTACATTGCCTCATTCAGCATGAACCCTGTTTACTGGAGTCTCTATAACTAAAGTCAATTTCCTATTCTACTTAGAGGCCTCAGTAAAGGAAAGAACACTATTTCCCTTCACCAGGGACCTATTAAAACAGTTATTGTTATTGTTAATTATAAAGCAAGTCTCAAGTCAAGGCTATGTGTCCTGTATTTAAATCCCAGCTCTACCCTATGCTGTATAAAGCAACTTCATCCCACAATTTCTCCATTTCTATAATTCTGTAATTAATTCTGTAATTAACTTTTAGGTTATGTTGTGAGATGAAATACTTAAGGAAAGTGAAGAATTTTAAGGGCTTGAAAGCCCTTAAAAATCTAGTCTAAATCTTTTATTTGACAAATGAGTTGAGTGAAGCCCAGAGGGTAGGCAAACTACCCAGGGTCACACATCATTAACCCAAAACACAGAGCATACATATTTGTAAATGTTGGCTTTGTTTATTCACTACTTCTTGCCATATAGTATAAATCCATCTAGTACTAGAAGGAAAATAATGAATGTCCAGTCCTTGAGTATGCATATTTCTTTTTCTTCTTTGTAAAGGGTATTGAACCCATTACCACTGACTGTAGGTAAAAGGTCATCAGCCCTCTTACTTTTTATTCTGAGACAGGGTCATTGCTAAATTCGAGGCTGGCCTCGAATTTGGGAAACTCCTGCCTCAACTTCCCCAGTAGCTGAAATTACAGGTAGGCACCACCACATCCCAGCTAAGTGTACATATTTAATGTTGCTTATAAAAGTTAAAAGGGAAAATAATGCAATGTGATGACATCCATAGCACCCATGTGAACTAGTCAGGCAGCAATGAGGAAATTTGACTACATCAGGAGGATCACTTGTCCCTCTTACATGAATCTCTTCTATTCTACCATCACTGCAAACATGGAAGAGATGATACCTCAGAGATCAAATTCAAATTTTGACTGCAACTCAAACTCAGATTCAGCCAATTCCATCTGCTCGGAGCTGAACAGAAGGCTAGGTCATGGCTTTTGCTGATGGGCAGGCATGCAAGGGCTGCAGAGCCCTGGAGTTGAACTAACCTGAGGGTAGAAGGCAGATGATGCTGTGCGTGGACTGCGGACAAACTCCATAAAGAAGGCCCCATCCTGAAGTCAGAAGAGGAGGAAGCAGCAACAACAGCAGCAGGTGCAAGAGAGTGAAGAAATGGAGTGTGTACCAGCAGTTAACCATGGGGGGAAGAAGAAGGAGATGAAACATAAAAATAAAAACAAGAACAGAAGGAGAAAAACAAGGACCCATGAGGGGAAATGGGGTAAAAAAAAAATACAAAATAAAAAAGAAGAAGAAAGAGATAAGGCGAGAGAGCCACCCAGAAAGATAATATCCACATGCAAAGTATGAGCAAGAACTCACACCTTCCTGGGCAGAATATCCCATCTGTGTGGGAGAAAGCACCTGGGTTAGAAGGTGTGTCCAAGCTCCCTCAGGTCTGCCAAGAGTGTGGCTTGGATACTTTTGCCCTCCCACATAGCTCTGAAATTCCTTCAGACCTATGGCAAGGAAGAGGGAAAGGCCACAGCTTTGGGGGATGACAGGGCAAAGGCTATAATAGCAACATCCTGGCCTCCTGCCTGGCTGGGTGACAAGAAACATACTGAGATATCAGGTTTCTTCTGCCTGTTATTGAACATGGCAGCCAGATGGGAGAAGAGGATTCAATGCAGGAAGAAGTCTCTATTAATCGTCTAAGCACACAGCAGTACAGAAGCAGCCATACCTTCTCCTCCACTGATTGTGTAATCATCAAGAAGCTAAGATACATAGAATGTCAGGTACACAAGCACTCATTTGAGGGGTTTTCTGAAGCTGTCTACCCCCAGTCTAATCATATGGGGTGAAAATGATCATGTACTTGAAACAAAAATGACATAGAAGATTTTTCCAAACAGCCTCTGTCCCTTCAATATCTTTTTATTTTTTATGCTGATTACAACTAAAATTCAGAAGTGGCTCCTGATCAATGTCTCTGCTTTCCTACAATTTTTCTTCAACGCAAATGTAGAATAATTTTACAATTATTGAAATTTCTGAATATTCTTTTTAGCGATATTACTGCTATTTCCCATTAGCCACTGAAAACAATATTGCTGCTACTCCCCATTAGCCATTGCAAACAAACCTTGGAAAGTTGAGGCTATGGGGAAACACAGGCAGGTACTGGCTCATGCAGCCAACACAAAATGATACCTGAAGATATGGCTGAGAATTTCTGAGCATATCAGCAGGACATCTCATAGCAGTTTTCCTTCCACTTCTTTAAACTTGGGAGTCTATGTCCAGCAATAGTAACAGTTACTATGCTGGATTTAAATGTTCAATTGGAAGATCAGGAGAACATTCTAAAAAGCAACCTAGTCATTTGGTGTTTGGTATATTTTAATCTAAATGTTTGTGATTCTATAATTTCTCTATCATATCCTTGGCACTTTTTAAAATCCTCAAAGATGACAATAAACAAATGTTTAAAATAAACAACTAAAAAAGCTAGTGGGCAGCACACAAGGGACTTTTGTACCTCATTATTCCATTCCTGACTCCTCTCTGCCAGAACATATATTGGCAGAAGTGCTGATGATGCTAAGATTCATGTACACATGAGAACAGGTTAAAAAAAAAAAAACTTTTTCTATAGAACATTCTTTGCACACCAGTTCGCCTTGGAACCTAAAGTTACTCCCTAGAGCAGTGATCAATAAACTATAGCTTGTAGTCCAAATCTGGCAAATTACTGTCTTTTTACAGTCTGAGAGAGATAAACTGCTTTATAATGTTAAATGTTTATAGAAGTACCTATGTAATAGCTTTATTTTGTTTTTTGGTCCAAAAGCCTAATGTATATATTTAGGTTTGCTGGCCACTGGTCCATATAGACTATTACTTGCCTAGAGCTTCAGATGGCATTTTTGTCTCATTTTTTTTTCTTAATATGAGCACCTGACACATATAAGGCAAGTGCTCTACCACTAAGCTACAACCCCAGCCCCACAAGTCTCATATTTTAATCCCTCCATCTGAGTAATTCAAGTAATATAATTCTAGTAACTTATGCTAAGGAAATAATCAGAGATATGCTCAAAATATTATTGTGAGGAAGGTCATTGTAACATTATTTATAATTATGATGTATCACAGATTATAACTTATAGAATGATTAACAAAATTTATCTCAAAATTAGAAATCATCTATAATTCTAATTTTAAAATGTCCAAATGAAGTTACATTCCTATGATTAAATATTATATGGCTTTTTTCTTTTTTTGTACCAGGGACTGAACTGAAGGGCACTTAACCATTGAGCCACATCTCCAGCCCTTTTTATCTTTTATTGTGAAACAGATGCTTAGGGCCTAAGTTGCTGAGGCTGGCCTCAAAATTGTGATCCTCAGCCTTTCAAGCTGCTGGGATTATAGGCAAACACCACCATGCCTGACTATACGGCTTTTCTGTGTGTGTGGTGCCGGGGAAACGAACACATGGCCTGTGCATACTAACTACATAACTACATACTCTACCACTAAGCTATACCTCAGCTCATAGCTATTTTTACAAATCATTTTGAGGCTGGATGTATGACTTGGTGGTACAGTGCCTGATTCCTGGTAAGGAAAAAAAAATCATACTTTTGAAAAATATTGAATGACATGAAATGTTTTTATGACATGGAGATAAAATGATAGCCTAGAGAGATAAAATATATTCACTCAATCTCTTTCATCTCCCAGATAAGAGAAGTACATTCAGCTCATCCTACCACAGCAGAATAATCTCAGATTTTGAATTTCTCAGGAGATAAGATAACAAAGTCAAGTCTATTGGTCTTAAAAGATAAAAAGCCTCACCTATAGAATTTTCTGCCCTTCTACTGCACTTGCTATTCCTTGCAGAGGTATAAAATCTCGGAATTTTTTATTTTTGTTCTACTCTGTCCAGAACGCTTCTGTCTGACTATATTTCTCAGGAATCTAAGAAAACTGATAGTAATTCCATTAGTAAAGAACAATGAAACCTTTTAGAAGGTTCTTCAGAAGCACTGTACTCCTGACTGGGAAAACTAACAATGATGCTAAAATAAAACCAGATGGCCAATTTCAAAACTCAAGTCAGATCTCAGGACTGAACCAACAGAGTTTAGTTTTACTTTCTTTTATAACTGCACTTAACTAGAATTTTATCTTCCTTACAATTTGAATATGAAAGTTTGTTAATAAAGATGGTAAAAGTAATAGAACCTTAAAAGAGTGTGGGAAGAATTCATCGAAAGTTTTAGCACATTCAATCCTGGATTGGAAGGGTTATCCATTCTGCCCTACACATTGGGTCTCTGTGAACATTCGGCAGTTCCCCACAGGAGTGGCCTCCTTTACCTTTCGTGGGCTGTCCACATAGGTGGGAGTCATTGCAACACTGCTGCTCTCAGCTGATTGGGTAGAGCTTTTTCCACTGTGCAGAGCTGCCTGCTGTTCTCCCAGACACCTAAAAGGAGAAAAAAACATATGACTGCAGCTTGCGTAAAGAAGGATCCACATTAGCCAAAATGAAGATTGCTCTGTTACTGGTATCTTCAAAACACACACACAAGCTTCTGCCTTATTTCTTCTTCAGGTCCTACCTGGTACACTTAACTTCATTAAACTGTCCTAAACAGTCACCAGTCCTCCACAATAAATCAGAAAACAGCACAATTTAAAGATCATTCTGGGCTGGGTGTGGTGGTACATGCCTGTAGTCCCACTAACTCAAGAGACTGAGGCAGGAGGATCACCTGAGCCCAGGAGTTTGAGGCCAGCCAGGACAATACAGCAAAACATTGACTAAATAAAAGCTTATTATTACTTTTAAAGGGCACCTAATTGGTCCCTACTTCCTGGAATTGATCACCATTTTTTTAGTCCTCTGGGAAGACTTTTTCTCATTCTTATTAAACATATCAGCAAAAGCATATTTTGAAAATTAGGGCTGCATTCATATGTGACACAAATTAAAAGGGGGGAAATGTTTAACTCTATACATTTTGAAGGAATTTATGTTATCCTTTCAAACATATTTAATACCCATCCCCCTCAAAATATGCACCCAAATCTAACAGACACTATCTCATGAAAAAGACAAATGTGGTTTTCTTATGTCATTTCATCTTATTTCAGTTTTGATGTACATAAATACTACCTTCATGATCATTTTCAAATCCTTTTCCATACTAAAATTAATTGTGACCTATTTTAGCTTAAATTACTTTGTTCTACTATATCACTGTATTCTTATTAGGTAAGATTCAGAAGGCTCATATTGTAGTCTTAAATGTTTCATTATTATTGTAATATATGTAGAATTCACATTGGTATCTTCTGGGCATCAGTTCTAGTACCCCATTGTGGACACAAAAACCTGTGAATACTCAAATCCCTTATATACAACAGCACAGTATTTAAATAAAACCACAGACCTTTTCCCACACACTTTATATTACTGATAATCTAACACATAATAATATTACTGATAATATCTAACACATAATAAATGATATGCAAATAGCTGTTATACAGTATTGTTTGGAGAATAATACCTAAAAATAAAGTCAGCATAATACCTAGAACTAAAGTTCAGCACAGATGCAAATTTTTTTCAGAATGTTTTCAATTCATGATTGGTGGAATCCACGAATACAACACCCATAGATGTGGAATATCAACTATATCATTGCAGTGGACACTGTGAGGCACCACCTAGATCCCTCTGCTATGGCCTTGTTGCCTCAATAACTGGGAACACTGTCCAAGTAGCTCAGGGGTCAGTGCATTAAGGGACAGTCCAAGCTGCAGAGCATTCTCCTCTGAGCTCCCCAACCCACAGGATGTCACAGCCAATTAATGATCAGTGTGTCTGTGAGACAGAGTAAATGTGGTGTGTATGTGTATGTGTTTGTGAAGGCCTGACAATATTGGCCCAACCCAGCTAATCTCTGAAGGCTATGCCAGATCCAGTGTTCAGACAGGGTCACCCAAGGCTGTCACCAGATGCTGCAGATAAGTGTACCAATTCTTGTTTCTTCCCACTCCCTCTCAAAGGTGTTAAGCTCACGGACTCTCCTTAATAAACAGCCTATATGCTAAATTTCCAATTGGTCTGCACCCCCAGGCATGCAATCTGCAACGCTTTTCATCTTAAAATTCTGATTTTTTCTCTGTATGTGGTCCTGAAAATAGAATCCAGGACTTCACTCATGCTAGGCAAAGTTCTATTAGTGAACCACACACCTCAGGCCAAATTCTGATATTTGTGTTACTGATCACAAAGTAATCTCACACCAGCAATTAAAATCTGTCTCCACAGTAACCAGAAACACTCTCTTTTAAAATATTTTGTTATAGAAAAATTCAAACATATGCAAAAGTAAAGAATGTAAGAAATCTTTACATATCCAGCCATCAAAATGATAACACTTGGAGATCATCTTGTTCCATCTATATCTCCCTCCTTCCCACACCAAATCATTTGAAGCAAAACTTACATATGGTATTATTTTTCCATATATATTGCATTGTTTCTAACAGGAAATAATTTTTTTTAAGGTGGACACAATATCTTTACTTTTATGTGGTGCTGAGGATAGAACCCAGTGCCCCACGCATGCCAGGCAAGCCCGCTACCACTTGAGCCATATCCCCAGCCCTAAAAAGGGAATAATTTTTAAAAACACAGCCACAATTAATTTTTTTTTACTTTTATAATATCAATTTCTCCAACTATCTCAAAAAAACCTTAACAGTTTGTTTGATTTAAAACAGAATTCAGGGGCTGGGGCTGTAGCTCAGTGACAGAACATTTGCCTAGCACTTGTGAGGCACTGGGTTCAATCCTTAGCACATGAATATAAACAAATAAAATAAAGGCATGTTGTCCATCTACAACTACGAAAAAAATTATTTTTAAATCAAATAAGGTCCCTACTTTACAATTAGTTATGTCCCTTAAGCATCTTTTAAGGTATATGCTCCTCTTCATCCCTTCTTGCAACTCATTTACTGAAGAAAGTAGCTCATCTGTTCTGCAAATGTACAGTCTAAATGTGTTGATTTCATTTCTTTATTGTTTAACATGTTCCTCTGTGCCCTGCACTTCCTAAGAATTAGAAGTTATACCTAGAGGTTTGGGCAGAGTTAGGCGCAATTTGGGGCAAGAATGCTTCCCAAGTGGAGCTGTACACTTCTATCTGGAGGCCCATAGTGGCTTGCTGCCTCTCTCTGGTGGTATTAGCTGCTACTGATGATCTCTGATAGATTCTTAATTCTTTAGAGACTATACATAATGATATTCTGTCATTCCTTCTCTCTTTATTGGCTGGAATATATTAAGAGAGAAACTTCCATATCAACTTGGAAACTCTGAGGTATAATTAATAGGGGAATAGCAGAATAAATGTATTTTCCCCTCATCCACTGATATCACACTGAATGTCTATCTATCTGTCTTCTTCTACCACAGTGCAGCCATGTTTTCCTAAGCCACATACACAAATACACACCCTGACATTCTTTGGTACTTCCTGAGGGCAACAGCAGTGGCAAGAATTCTCAGTTACTCCCATTACCCCTCCAGATACACTGATACATATAACAATCTACATTGACTGAATTGCCTTTCATGTGCTCTGACTAGGTCAGAGATTCAGACATTAGAAAGACCCTCTCCTTGACCTTAGAGGCTCCTTGTCTAACAGTTCAGGGAGGAGACTGGCACAAAATGATGAGCACCAAGGTATACATATGAGAAGATATACAAGGACACACTGTATTCTGACAAAAGACAGGCAGACAAGCCCATATGCATTGGGTGGGCCTGAAAGGATGAACTGAAGAAAGACAGCCTACACAGAAGCAGAAAGACAAAGTACAGAGATGCCCTTCACATGCCTTGGTAAGTAGACAGTATGCTATATCACATGGCTGGTCTGCTTTCAGCATGGAACCCAAAGCAACAAGCACACATAAGAGGCACTCTGAATAGGATGAGAACATTCCAACTGTTTGAAGTGTCTGTCTGTGTTGCCCTCCCCCAACTTGGCTGTCACCAAGCTTTACTATTCTAATAGAAGTAGAGGAGCCTGCTGGCCAATACCTGTTACCTTAAGTTGATTCTGCTGCTGTTAATCAGCAAACACATAAGACTTCAGAGGCATCTGCCTTCCAAGAGAGACTGACAAAATGTCTGTGCCTACAGATAAAAACTGGAAGGAACTAGAAGAAATGAAGACAAGCTAGGAATGGTGAAACATGCCTGCAATCCTACCTACTTAGAAGACTGAAGCAGGAGGATCCCAAGCAACTTAGCCTAAGCAACTTAGCAAGACAGTCTTAAAAATAATATATTTTTTAAATGGCTTCAGATAATATATGTCAGTGGTAGAATACCCCTGGGTTCAATCTCCAGAACCATAAAGAAAAAAACATAGTTACATTATGGTAACACAACAAGAATATAGATGAAAAATTTTAAAGCTGTTTTACATGCTGCTCTAACACTGTTATACATTGAATCTGCTTGGTGCAACAGAAGAATAAGAAAAACACATTAAAAAAAATGCTCTGTGGAGGGGCTAGGGTTGTGGCTCAAGTGCAGAGTGCTTTGCTTAGTAAGTGTGAGGCACTGGGTTCGATCCTCAGCATCATATAAAAATAAATAAATAAAATAGAGATATTGTGTCCATCTACAACTTAAAAAATAAGAAAATGCTATGTGAACAAATGTTATATAAAAAAGTCTGGCTCTTTCTACTCTATGTCCATTCTTAAGAAAACACAGCATGTCCCCCTGAAGCAGTCATCTGGGAACAAGAAATAAGCCTCAGGTCTCTTTGTCCTGCCTCCTGCCATAGGGTTAACTGATTCTCACCCTTCACATGAAGGGATACTACTACCCCAAGAGAGCCTTCTTCTCCTGATCTGAGTGGAAAGAAGCCCTTGGTGTCTCCTCAGTGATGACTCACTGAAAAAATAAGATACCTCACACCTAGTTTCACACCTTCCATCCTTCCCAGTAACATCCAGTTCTTATTCTCTCTTTCAAGGATTAGTTATAGGGAGAAGCTGCCAAGCAAAGTTCTAGGGCCTTTCCTAGGTCAGAGACATTTTTGGAAGAAGACACAGAGCTATCAGTAATAAGCCCAACCTACCCACTTTCCTTCTCTCATTGCCATCTTCTGGGCAATCTACTGGGTTCCTCTGCTCTCCTGCCATATCCCATCTTTTCCATTTCATCATCACCCTCCTCCACCTAATCTCTGTCTCCTGGCACCCACCTGCCAAGCATTCCTATCTCTAGGCTTATCCCTGAAGAAATCACTTCTACCAAAAATACAGACTAGATATTTTATGATATAAGAAATGTAATGGCCAGGTATGGTAATACTTTCCTATAACCCCAGCAACTCAGGAGGCTGAGGCAGAAGAATCAAGTTTAAAGTCAGCCTCAGCAACTTTTGAGACCCTGTCTCAAAAAATAAAAAAGAACTGGGGTTATGGCTCAGTGATTAAGGGCCTCTGGGTCAATCCCCGGTATTTAAAAAAAAAGCCTTAATTTTTAGGTAAATTATACTATTGTAGTTTGGAATTTTTTTAAAAAAAGAGGACATATCTTTCAGAGAAACATTCTGAAATAATACAGATGAGATATTTTTGTCTAGGATTTGAGAAAAAAATAAAAGGAAAGGTGAACACAAGTGGAATATAAATGAAACAAGACTTGCCAGGAGTCAATGATCATTGCAGCTTGGTGATCAGTAAAGCAAGATTTATTTATTTAAAACAGAAAAATTTTCAAGCTGGAGATTTTGCCTACCATATGCAAGGCTCTGGATTCAATCCCCAGCACCGCAAAAATAAAATAATTTTCAAAGGATTCCTCCTGGTATGAGATCACATGACGATGTACTGCATCCAGTTTCCCATGCTATCTTGTCAATTGCACCTCCCAGTATACCTCATACTCTCTCATGCATTTCATTGTTGCTTTCTGAAAGTGTACTGTGTGCTGGCTCCTGCTGGGAACAATACCCAATACTGGCCATCACACCCAAAAGAAAATGTCCAGTCTCCCCTAACACACTTGCCCCACATATATACAGAGAGATGCTCAGCATCCTATCTTCCACTATTCCATAAATATCCACGGCATACCTACTATGTCCTGGGCAGACTCACAACCTCTGCCCTCAAAGCAGTCACAGTAGAGGAAAGAAGAGTGAACAGATTTCTGAGGCACTCAGGAGAATACTGACAAGTGCTCTAATGAACATAGGCCCAGGATGCAGGCAAACACTGCATCAAGAACCTGATCTTGGGATGGGGATGTGGCTCAGTGGTTAAGTGCTCCTGAGTTCATTCCCCAGTACCAAAGAAAAAAAAAGAAAGAAAGGAAGGAAGAAAGGAAAAGAATCCAATCTTACTGGGGGGATGAGAAAGCTGCCCAAGGCAGGTTCTACCTATGCATAGCAATGTTGTCTTTTCCCCCCAAGTCCCACCTCCCCTCGATGTAAATCCTTTGATGCCTACATGACCAAATTAAATCCCACCTCTTGGAACACTCTCCCTGCCCTCCCAAGCAAGGTATCATCCAGCTGGTATCCTGTCAACTATATTAACATTCCCAAATGCCTAGAGAAACCAGCCAGGTAACATAACTGAGGATGCAAGACAGGTCCAAGACCAGAGTAAGAACCATAGGCCCTTCTAAAGTGTAGCCTGGGCTGGGATTGTGGCTCAGTGGTAGAGTGCTGGCCTAGCATGCTCGGGGCCCTGGGTTCAATTCTCAGCACCACATAAAAATAAATGAATGGAATAAAGGTATTGTGTCCAACTAAAAAAATAAATATTAAAAAATAAATAAATAAAATAAAGTGTAGCCAATGTGGCAGACTACAAATGTAGACTACTTAAAGCAAAACACACTGAAGAAGGAGGACTGTGAGTTTGAAGCCAGCCTGAGCAATGCAATAAGACACTATCTCAAAAAATAATAATAATAAAGGAAAGCCAACTCTATATCTTATCTATAACTTTATATTATATTATATAACCCATACTACATAATTTTTATGCTGTATAATAGAATCATAGATCATCTTACATTTATTTTTCATATAAAAATTTATATAAAATCAAGAATTTTATGTGAAATCTTCAAAACAGAAAATTTGGGATAAAGTATTCATTTTTTTAGAGGGGTATGAAGTATTCCTTTTTTTATTTATTTATTTTGTAGTTGTAGATGGACAGAATGCCTTTATTTCATTTGTTTACTTTAATGTGGTGCTAAGGATCGAACCCAGTGCCTCACACATGCTAGGCAAGCGCTCTGACACTAAGCTAGAGCCCTAGCCCTTGGATGAAGTATTCTTAAAATGCTTTGTGAGCTGGATGCAATAGCACATACCTACAATCCCAGAATCTCAGGAGGCTAGGGCAGGAGGATTGCAAGTTCAAGGCAGCTTCAGCAATTTACTAGGTCCCTAAACAACTTAGCCAGACCCTGTCTCAAAAAGTAAAAAGGGCTAGGGATATTGCTCAGTGGTAGAGCATCCCTGGGATCAATACCCAGTACCAAACACTTAAAAATTTTAAAAATAAAACGCTTTGAGAGCTGAGTGCAGTGGTATATGCCTAGCTATTCAGGAGGCTGAGACATGAAGATCATTTGAGCCCAGGAATTCAAGACTAGCCTGGGCAACATAGAAAGAATTTATCAAAAATATAAATATGTGGGCTGGGGATGTGGCTCAAGCGGTAGCGCGCTTGCCTGGCATGCACGGGGCGCTGGGTTCGATCCTCAGCACCACATAAAAATAAAATAAAGATGTTGTGTTCACCAAAAACTAAAAAATAAATATTAAAAAATATATATATATAAATATTTAAAAAATGTTCTGTAGGATAAACAAAATGTGTCTGAAGTTCAAATTAAGCCCCAGGCTGAAAGTTTATAATTGCTGCCCTATTTCATATTATTCAACACTTACCAGGTATTAGCCTTGTTTTCTTTTCATGTAAACATCTTCTTTCCTACAAACTCCTTACAGATTTTACCCCACACAGAGGAGTAGAGCACTGAAAACCCTTGGGGTCTTCAGGGTGGGGCAGGTCCCTCTTGAACCAGGCACTTACTTCTGACTGGCCTCCATCTCTAGCAGGGCAGACAGAGCTGAGGTTTTCTTCCCAGCAGTGGGACCTGTAGACTCAAGGGAGTGTGTGGAAATGGGCCCAGTCATCTGCAAGCCTTTCATGGCAGTTCCTTTCTAAAGCAGAAAAGAAGAAATGAAGCTCAAAAGGGCTTTTGCAATAGACCCCACTCACACACCAGCATAAGCCTCTTCATCTTCAAGCCCTGGGAATTCAACTAACACAGTAGAGGAATACTGATTCTTCGTGTTCGGAAATGATAGAAGAAACTGAGGCTCAGAAAGTTTAAGTAATTTATTCCAAATTGCACTGGAGATGAAATTCAAACTTCAGCTGCCTCAATTCAAAACCAAAGCTCTTCCCAGTATAGAAGATCTCCTAAAAATGTTCCTAATCATAAGTGAGGCTGCATACAAAAGGCAGCTGATGTAGAAGGAAGATTAAAGAATTTTTGTTTTGGGTTAAAAAAAATAAAAATAAAAACATGATGATGGAACACTACCAAGCAATTAAAAAGAATGAACTACTGATTCTTAGAACAATTTGGATAAATCCCAAAGCATAATGCTAACTGAAAGAAGGCAGTCTCAAAAGGTTTCATATTATATAATTCCATTTTTGTGATATTTAGAAAAGATAAAAGAATCATGATGGTCAACAGGCCAGTGGTTGCTAGGGGACAGGGAGGCAGGAGAATATGACTAAAAACAGTAGCATAATGGAGCATTTTTTAAGTGATGAAATTATTCTATAGCTGATCATGGTGGTGGCTGCCTGAATCTATACATTTGTTAAAATTCATAGATTGTATGCAAGTGTGTATGCCCCCCCAACATACATACACACACACACACACACACACACAGCCAGGTCAATTATATTTTATGTTAATTTAAACAAAACAAAACAGTTGAATCCTAGATCTGCCCTTTATTGGCAAAGTGCCTCAGATATATCCCATAACAGTAGCCTCAGTTTTCCCATTGGGTAGCAGTGTGTGATTGAAATGAAGAAACAAGGGTGCTAAAAACTCTTAAAGTGATATCAGAGTAAGAAAAGACTGTTTCTGTTAACCTCCTAAACGTCTGTATTCACCACCACATCACACAGGCAGCTGTTTCAAAACTGGGCCACTTGGAGAGTAGATAAAGGCTCTATATCCTCAGGAGAACAGCTCCAGTCATGGGACATTGCCCAATCATTGTCTGTACCCTATAACCCCCCTTCTTCACCCTACAATGGATAACAACACAGTTTGGGATTAAAAATAAACATTAGACAGCTATGAGGCTTAAAAAAAAAAAAAAAAAACTAGCCAATGGGAGGCTCCTGAGAGATAGGAGGTGACAGATCCTGTATACCATACTAGGGACAGTCCCTAAGGAACCCCAGGAGCCCTCACCCGCATCATGCGATCTGAGCGATGCCGCCTGCGGATCCGGTTCAAACCCTCCACAAAGCGGATAAAGCCATCCAGGAGCTGCCACTCATCCTCATCAGCACGGGGTCTATCCCCATAGATGTCACAGTGGACCTCCCCCTCTGTGATGCGCTTGGTGGCAGTGACACAGGCTGGCAAAAGCAGGAAGCGGGTCCTCCAGAACTTCAGAGATTCAATTAAGCTACAGAGGATCAAGGAAAACACAAAGTAGTGGTAAGAAAAATTAGATACTCAAAGTGCTCCAAGTGATCTCTCTCTGATTGGTGTGCAAGGTTCCACCTCCCCACAGGTGTGCTGTCATCTGATGATACAGCGCATGGTTTCATTTCAGACACAAGCTCAAAAGGAAGACTACAAAACTCAGTATTATTTTAATCCCAAAGAAGTCAAAACAATTATGTGCACCCAGGCCCAACAAAGTTGTAGTTTTGCATCATCATTATCATAAATTGTACATAAAAATAAAAAATTAAACATGAGATAGCACAAAGCTACCAACCAGCCAGGTAGTCAAGAAAATATTAAGAACATGATCTGCACTGACACTTGCACCAAAGGGCACATCACCACTGAAACCAGTAATTTTGGTGGTGGTGCTAGGGATTGAACCCAGGGCCATGTGCATGCGAGGCAAGCACTCTGCCAACTGAGCTATATCCCAGCTCCCAGTATTGTTGTTGGTTTTTTTGTTTTTATTTTTTGTTGTTGTTGTTGTTTTTTAATTGTAGTAAACTACACATAATAAAATGTACCACTTCAACCAATTTTGAGTATATAAATCAGTGACAGGTGCATCCATATTGTTGTGTAACCATCTCCCTATCCACCTCATAACTATTTTTCAACCCATGCAGATGTACTTTTATTCTTCCATTTATTTCTGAAAGACATAACAGCTACCATTTTGTCATCAGAAAAAAGACAGAAACATTAAAGTATGCGTACACCCAAGCAGCAATGATGAAAAGACACTCTCAGACCTGAAATCCTCAGAGCCCGCAGAACAAATATACTGATCTAAGTAATTCCACTTGTACTCCTCTAGCCGCTCATGAGAGAATTCCACCCAACAGGAAACAAACTCTGAGTCTGAGTGTGAAGGACACAGGCTGTAGGTATAGTGGATCTGGGCAGATTCATAAGGATACCTGAAAAATAAAGAACATGCCTAGACATTCAAACGATCATTCCTCCCAATTCTTCTCTCTCTTTTCTGTCTAATGCACTTAGCACTATTCTTGGCAACCAACCCTCAAATACAGCAGCCAACTCATCTCATCCCAAGGGACTGTTACGGAAATTTCCCAGATCTTAAATTTTCCATTCTCTCTTCACATTCTTTTTTTGTTTGTTTGTTTCTTTGTTTTGCGGTGCTAGGGATTGAACCCAGGGCCTTGGGCATGCAAGGCAAGCACTCTACCAACTGAGCTATATCCCCAGCTCCCTCACATTCTTCATTTTTAATTGGTTCAATAGTAATCATGCTAAACATAAGCTGAATCAAATTTGGAAGTAAGCTATAACCTTAAAATCATCTCAGGATTATTTTAAAACAAAGAAAAGACTAACAACTCAACTTCCTTTGTTTGAACTAAGAACTATACACAATTAGCAAGCAGACATAATCCAGAACAGTAGCTAAAGACTTTAAATATCCAAGAACTCACTTGGGAAGGTATCGAGTTACTGTGATCATCTTGTCCTTCAGTGTCACTTTGTGGAAAGTTCTGCCCATACTCAACCAATACTGGTCCTCCTCCTCAGGGCGATTTCGGGACACAAGGCCTAATAGGAAAAATAATAAGACTTCCTCCAACTGGCTGAGGTTCATTCCTACAACAGGCAATTGCTTTTCATACATATACATACAGAAAAGGAGAAACAAAAGAGGCAATGCTTTCATTGAAGGGGGAGATTTATGGAAAAAGGCAGTTCTTGGTTTAAAAAAAAAAAAGGTCCAGAAATTGGCAGATTTTTCTGTTACCAAACCAACCAGCAGCCGATTAGAAACTCACAGTATTAAAAGCACCTAGATGTCAAATGCTGAGCTGATGCCTCATTCTCGAAGGGGGAAAGTTCTGGAATAATGTTAACAGGCTAAGAGACAGCTGTGAAGCAAAATGGAACTACATTTTACCCACGCATCTCAAGTCTTCACCCCAAGGGGGCCGACAACCTAGTTTACTCACTTTCATTTCTAATACTCCAAGCTTTAGTCTTAAAGGACCATTTATTTATTTGCTGCAACTTTCCTCCTCCAAACATCTTTCACACTGCTTATACTGCCTTGTCATTCTGGGCCAACATTGAAACATTTATTTATTTATTTGCTGCAACTTTCCTCCTCCAAACATCTTTCACACTGCTCATACTGCCTTCTCATCCTGGGCCACCACTGAAACATTTAAAGTCACCACCAAAAGCTACTTTCTCCAGCAGTCTGAAAAATATATTGTAAGTAGCTACATAAGTGTGTTTGTCTGTTTGTCTCACATCCTTTTTCTTCTCTCTCTCTCTCTCTCTCTCTCTATTTTATTTATTTATTTATTTATTTATTTATTTATTTATTTATTTGGTTAATGTACTGGGGATTGAACTCAGGGGTGCTTTACCACTGAGCTATATTGCCAGATCTTTTTTTAATTTTTATTTTGAGACAGGATCTCCCTAAGTTGCCAAGGCTGACCTCAAACTGCAATTCTCCTGCCTCAGCCTCCCAAGTAACTGGGACTGTAGGCATGGGTCACCACGCCCAACTCTCACATTCTTTTATAAAAGATACAAGGAGCCAGAAGGAGCATTGCACACTTGTAGTCCCAGCTACATGGGAGACTGACACCAGAAGACTGCCTGAGCACAGTAGTTCAAAGCCAGCCTGGGCAACATGTGAGACCCCACCTCAAAAAAATAACTTCATTTAATTAAACTCAAATTTAAAAATAATATAAAAGTACCAGGAAGCCAAGGTCAAATGTTCATTCTCATATTTTCAGTTGCACTAAATAAAGTGCCATGGCCAGAATAGATATTTAAAACATCAGTTAAGGGCAGGGATGTAACTCAGAGGTAGAATACTTGCCCAGCATGTACAAGGCTCTTGGTTCAACTGCCTGTACTGAAAAAACTAAAATAACAAAAAAATTTTTTGTTGAACCAAACACAGCAAAAAGGGAAACAATGAAGAATCCAGACAACAAGAAGTATTCAAGAGAGTAAAACTTGAGCTCCTGAGAACAACAAAGCCAAGGCAAGATTCTCTTGATTTGGAAATAAAACAATGCCATCATTCAACTCTGAGACAGCCACATAATGGCAGGCAGCAGAGAAGTGGTCAGGAGAAGAGGATAGCAGAGGCTGAAAGGATCTTCACTGTGAATGGGGAAAATTCCCAGGTGATGCACAGAGAGTAGCAAACCAGCTTCACATGAGAAAGAGGCTAGACTTCGACTCAGGACACCCATGGTTATACTTCAACTCTTTCATTTGGCTGCTGTATGATCTCAAGGACCAAATCTCTACCAGTCTCATGTTCTGCAACTAGAAAGAGAACTTGCCTCATTCAGGAATTCATGCACTTATGCTACAAACACCCTGTGGGCTACCAGGAAAAAAGTGTTATGGGGTAAGGTTCATGAGAATCTAAGAGGGTACCCTCATTCTAAATTAGATTACCCCAGTTATGCCTGTTTTTATCCTGCACAGCTCTCTGATTAAATATATATTTGTGGCTTATTAATTTAACGGCTGCCCCCCCCCCCCCAGTAAACTCTGTAATTTTCAAGGGCAAGGTCAATGCTGTTCTATTCTCTACTGGAACAGAGCATAGCTCACTTTTCATAATCAATAAACCCGTGACAGTGAGCAGCACAAGCACTATGATGGCAATGTTTCTAGTAATTACAATAATAATGAAACCATTTCTGTTTTCATAGAAATAAGAGATTAAATTTATCAAAGGAGAAAATAACCAGAAAGCGTAAAGCCAGGCCAAGTAGCTTCTGGTCAACTAGCCATGAATCAGCCAGGATCAGCACTGGACACAAGAGAATTACAGACCCATGAGGGACATCAACCAGCTATTTGAGAGAGCAGAAAGTAGACAGCCTAGATGGGGCCAATAACACAGGTGAATTCATTCCACTGTTCATGAGTTAGAGAACAGAATCCTACCCAGGGCCCTGTGAGGCCTGAATATCCTGACACCTCTGGCTGCACCTCCAGTTCACTCCCTGTGCTCCATCACACCAGCCTTCTTTTTGGTGCCTTCTACTGATAGCCCTTTGCACACATCAATCCCTCTGCCTGGCATGTTCTTCCCTTCAGCTCCCACCTTCCACTCCAAACCTACTTCTTCTAATAACCCCTGTATTACATCAGGTCTAAGCTCAAACATCACCTCCTTAAAGCTATCCCTGTGACCCTCAGACCAGATCAGGCCCCAATTAGATAGTCTCACAGGCCCTTGCTAATAACAAATAACTAATGGTTATTTTTCCCCACTGGGTTATAAAACCCCCCTCAGAGTAGAAGCTTCAAAAATACTGTTGAATGAATAAGTGAATGAAATGAATAAATTAATGAATGAATAAATTAATGAATTCACATATTTATTGACCCAAACAGCTGTATTCCAGGCACTGTCATTTCCAGTGTAGAGAATAAAAAGATGAATCCAAAATAGTCTTGGCACTCAAAAACATTAATATTCAGTAGGAATAGGAATAGAAGGCATTCAGTAAATGTCACAAGGAGCTTTCACATAAAAGCCAGAGGGAGTTCAAAGCTTCACCTACAAACAGCAGAGCCTGTACTGAGTGACCACTAAGCCCCACTAACAGTTCCACACTTCTGGATTATCTAGCCAGAGGAGCATCAGTGGAGCCAAAGATGATCTGATGTTGGACACTGGCTAATTAGAGGAATGGAGATTTAATTAGTAATAGTGAAGAAGCAAGAAACTAAAAACCTTCATTGATTGTTTCAGAAAGTGATTACTGCTTTATGATTCCAAACACTCATACTTAATTCCTTCTGCTAGACTTAGATTAGAAGAACTCCACAGTCTGACCCTTATTCAATTAGTGTTACCAACTTTTTTGTCACTTCTTAGCCTCTGTCACTCAGAAATGATCCATTCTTGCTTCAAGTCACTAAGCTTCAATACTAAAGAACAGAAAGAAGAACCCAAGATAGGAAAAAACAACAAGCGTAAACTTGAGGTTTAGTAGCATCTCAGAAGCTGCAGTGTGACATGTACTCTTCTAAAAATATCCATTTCTGGGTTTAGAAAATTCACTATATACTTTGACAGCTCAATATTAGCTCAGCTGCCTGCTATTCCTAGGTATTCTCAAAGCTAGGCTATACCACTCCTAGGCTTGATCATACCTTCTTCATTAAAAGGAGAGTATAACTGCTGAACCAGAAGTCTCCTGTCAATCAACTACCACCTGCAATGCTACCACCATTGCTGCTGCCTCTGATTCCACTGCTGCCAGCCAAGATCGCCTAGAGGTCTTCTTTCCAGGTGCTGCTGACACAGAAGAGACCACTGCCCTGGATGCAACTGAAACCTACACTGCTGCTGACCCCCAGATATCACCTGGTGACGCTGCCCCCACAGCTGCAGTTGCAGCTGCCGCTGCAGCCGTCACTACTGTTGACCCACTGCCTGCTACCAACAACCACTGCCAGTACCGCTGCTACCAGAGCCTAGAGGACTGCTTTGGAAAGACTCCAGGTTTGGTTGCATGTGGATACACCCATTTTGGAACACCAGCCAGGGCCTGGGGCCTAGGTATCCACAGGTTTACTACCATAACAGCCTCTGTCTGGGGACTCAGCTGTGACCTGCAGGTCCAATGTGGGGATGCCTGCAGGTTTGGAAGAGCCTGGGAGCTTCCTGCTGAGAGTGCTGGTGGCCCTTGTCTTGCTGCTGCATCTCAGGGTTGCTCCTTTGCATGAGTGTATCCCTGGTGGTTTCTCTGAAAGTAGGAGCAGCTCTGAGATCTTGGGACTGCAGCGTGGCCAATCCTGAAGTATCTGAAGCCCAGATCGGTGGGACAGAGACTGGATTTTTGAGGGCTGATGTGGGTTTGGTGATCCCAAGAGACGTCAGAGACAGGACTGAGAAACTGTTGAACACTAACAGAGACAGTTTGACTTGCCAGCAAGATTTATTTTATATTATTTTTTGATTCACTAATCTCTCTACCATATTTGGAACAGGATGTTTTTTATGCATTAAGGTGTGGAGGACAATGACACATGAATGGTGTTTTGCATTTTTGTTATATTCTTATGTCTTCAATTTTTTCTCTTTGTTCGTATTCTTCCTCTCTCTTCTATTTTCTGTGATTTATTTTCCAACTTTTCTCTAACCAATAGCCAATCTCTGTCAGCTCTTCTTCCACTCTTCCTGTGAATTTTTACTTCAAGCCTCTCTCTTCCTCCCTCGCGAATATTGCATACTATACCACCTCTGTTCTCTCATCCACCATTTGAAATCGTAAATCATTTTAATAAATATTCTATAGTTAGTTACTGAACTCATCATTTTGGTTTAATGTGAGAAAGCAGTAGACACCTTAGTGAGAGCTATTAGGTTAAGGCTATATATTGTGTACACTGGGTGCTGTTGATATTGGTCTTACCAGTAAAGGTAAAGCACTGGAAACCTTCAGGAACACTACAGGTCTACAGAGTAGAACTTATCCTGCCTTAGATCCATAGTTTTAGATGGGAAAACACACTAACAACATGAAAAAACAAGGGAATAAAGCATC